AAACCTGGTTGTTATGTATTTCTTGATATATTCTCAAATCCATGGTAGAATAATTTCCTCAATGTTAGTGCTTTGACTGTTACATATTTCATAAGTACACACCTAATAAATAATAACAAATTATTTATTAAATGCAAGTTGATAATAAATAACACTTCAGTAAATTATTCAAGAAATATATAAGATATATAAATCATCAATATATAAGTACCTATATCAATAATAAATTATTTCTATTAATATATATTTATGTATATGTATGTATAAAAATACACCAAAAACATGATTTCAAGTTACATGTTTCATCATATTTATTGAAATGTAGATTACAGATAAAATAGTACATACCATATTAGTTTGTGGAAAATAAATATGTTTACAAATAGAATGACCTAAGCATTACAGAACTCAGTGCTACATTTTACTTGGATATATTGATAAAAAGGAAAATTATTTCCTGAAACAAGTTAGTCCATCACTGTGTAACCATGTTTATTCTATTTATAATTCATATAATCACCTTCTAGTCATGAAGTACACCAGTTTACTCCCTGGGTAAATTTACTCTCTCCCTGCCAGTTTACTCTCTGGGTAAGTGTTTTATTGATATCATCTTGTAATAGCCTGTGCAGAAATACCTTTGCCATTGCTTCTCACTGAGATATATCTGAGAGCAACATAAAAATGTCTGGGTAGTTAAATAATGTCTGGTACAATTTACCTCACAGCAGCTCTTTGCGTTGCCTACAAAGGAACCTTGGCCAGAAAAAATTAACTTAGCCCTTTTGATGTCAAATGAATTGCCGTGGTATACAATGTATGGATTGATCATGATTAATAGAAGCAGAAGAAAGTGTGTCTGTATATATAGAGAACAATGGATTCTATCTCATGTTTCTTAAAATATTTTAAAAATCATTTACATGTAATTCCACTGTAATCTTTTAAATTAATAGTGAGGCAGAGTAGCATACAGGAAAATCTTCCTCAGGACAGTGACTAAACCATGTAAAGGCCTGGCCAGCATTAACTTGAGATCTGGAATCATTTCTTGAAATGAAGGTCTCAGAACTTTGTGAAAGCAAAAGTCTAACCTGAGCTATCTTTTCTCTGTCAAAATGAGTCATATTATCAGAGACAGTGTTTAGATTTATTGAGCATCTGTATATCCAAGTAAAAACTGGAGAAAACAAAACAGTGCATGTGAAAACGCTTTGGTGATTGTGAAAATTGAAAGACTCTTTTAGGATAATCAGGTGATTCAAAATAAAGTTTTGAAAAAAAAAATGAAGGAAAATAAAGCTTTGAAGCTGGGAGGAAAGGCTGGCAGGTCAGTCATCCAAGAGTTAGAACGTGAAGGCTCTGACTTTCATGCCTTTGTTTCTAGAAAAATAATATTTCTAAGAGCTGCTTTCTCAATAAAATCATGAAGCTCAATCATTTAATAGGTTTGATTTCAAATCTAAGGTTTGATAAATTGCAGGTATATAATTGGGATAAATATTGATAGAATGAAGCTTCAGATTTTGAGTGTCAGTAAAATTGTGACAGGAAACACTGAATAAAACAGAAACAAAACAGCAAGATGATAGAAGAATTCCACAAAGAACACAGAGAAGGGATTTACTAGTGAGGAAGAGTTCACTCATTACCAAAAAGGAAAGAGAGAATTTAATATTAATTGCATATCCTTCTCTGCAGGGCATGTAAGAGACTCTTCAAGTGCTGTACCTGATTTCACACTCGCAAGTAAACCGTGAAGTGGCTGCTGTCCCATACATGAGATAACTTAGATCCAGAAAGCCTAGGCCAAAAAGGGATAACCGTCAGTGAAGATCCAAGTCGAGTTTCTATCTTATGCTGCCTCCAAATTACTCGGAAATAGGTGGAAACCACTTTGTATGTCATTAGGAAGAACTGATGGTAAAATAAAGTCTAAAAAGAATTCGGTTTAAACAAATACAGTTAAAGGAGCAACAAATAACATCCAGTAAGAAGGAAGGAAACAAGGAGCTTGAATAGTGGATAAATTTGACAGGAATTACTTTGAGTAATAGATTTTGGTTGACCAGTGAAACAAATGAGAAGCCAGCTGTTAACAGAGCTTATGAAACTTTTGTGGATCCATTTGTGATGCTATATTTTAAAAGCTCTGATAATGTTTTGTATCTAAAGAAGAGAAATAAAAGGCAATGGTAATCAATGTTTACTATTTTCAAGATGTTCCCAAGAAAATAAAAAGGAACATAAAAATAGGTAGCCTTAAAGCACCAATAGCTGACCATGAATTCCTGGTTGGGTAGGAATCAAGTACAGGGATAGGGGAGTAGGTGGTCAGAGACACTGAAGGAAACATTCTTGTCAAAAAGATTATTTTTAACAAAATATTTTTACCTTACTTCCCAATCCTAAGCACCTATTGTTTACGCACCTTTTTGACATCTTTCACCAAAAGCTATAACACAGCCCCCCACACACACACACCCAGATTCCTCCCATAGAGAATTTAGGACATAATGAATATATATACTACACTAACTTAACAGTCAGCAAATCCTCATTGTGCTGGCCAACCACCAACACCACCACCAGCAACAACAAAATTGACAAACAGTGAACACACACAAAATGGACAGAATCTGAGCTCTATTTTTGTCTCCATTAATAATTGAGAAAAGCGAACTCTAACTTTTAAGGCCTTTTTTGTCTTTTCCTATTCTATTAAAAATCATGTTTTTCTATGTTATAAGACTTTATTGTCTGCCTTCCTACAAGGCCCTTACCAAAACTACAGGAGTAAAGGTATAACTGAATAAAAAAGTTTGTTTCATATTTTTTCAATTAACCTATTAATATAAACAACATTAATTTAATACTGCTACTATGGGAATTACTACTATTGTGTAGGTGCTGGTGTAATTACTACTTAGACCTGGTTGCTATGCAATTACTGTTTGAACCTGGCCTTTAATATTTTACTTCTGATGGAAAGAAAATGCTAAATTTCCTTTCTGAGACTTTTTCTCTCATTTATTTCCTCCATACTCCTCATTTAATGAACACATACTCTTCTTTACAAAGCCTTCTAAAATACATTACTTTTTGAAGCCCTAGAATTAGTCATTTTTGTTGTCAAAGGTAACAGCTGCTTCTGTGTGTGTCATTAAAGACTAGAACTGGTCTGGGATAGTTAGCATCAGTTCCTGACTCTATGAGCTATATAGTCTTGAGAACGATATTACCTTCTCTGGCACTCAATTTTCTCACGCTACAGATCAATATTATAATTCTCTCTTTATATGTACTGCACAGCACAATTTTGGAAATCATACATACGTATGTATATGTACTTATCAGACACATATTAAAAAGTGTATGTTAGACAAATAAACTCTACTGTTTATTGTTCTTATCCTCAGAATCTAACAATTCTCATCATGAAGAACATACTTGATAAATAGTTTTTAAATTAGTAAATGGATAATAAGACAACAGTGATAACAATCTAACATTTACTGGGAGCACTGGCCCCATGTTATCCTGTTAGGCACTTGACATGAATTCTTATTGAAGTCCAAGAACCATTAAATAATTTATACGGTATATTCATTTGACTGTTCACAGTGATGAATTTTACAGTTGCACATTTAATGAGTACACATGCAAAAGAATGAAAATTTGAGCTCCCATTGATTTCAAATCTGAGTAAACAAATGAATGAAACAAAGAGTTTTTATTCAAGTTAAGACTACATTTGATAGGGAAAAAGACATGCAGGCACTTTAGCAAGGCCGTTGCTCTGTGACGTGTAGGTATGCCTTCTGTGTGTGAAGTCTCTCTCCTGCAGTTGCGATCAGGCCCCGTGAAACCTGGAGAGTGAGAGGAGCTGACTTCCACAGCACACACAGACACCAAAGAACAAGAACAAAGTTCATTGCCTCAGGTCTGTGCGAATTAACCCTGGTTTAAACAACTAAACAAACAATTAGACTGCCTCCTCTTATTTTTTAAAGTCTATTTTAAAACAAGCAAACAATTTATGTTTACATCTTTCAAAAACAATTCCAAAAACTATGCATACATGACTGCTAACAAGAAGTACATTCTCTATAGTCCCTTGAAACTTCTTTATCAGATTTGTTGACTTATGGAATTTTCTGTCAATGACTTTGAAATTTAAAAATACTTCTATCATTTCAATTGTTATACAAAATCCTTTTCTAACTGTCGTGTCATTCCATCTCAGCATAAGGTTAGATTTGCTCCTAGAGCAGCTAAGATGTGGATGGATTGAAGCTCCTCCTGGTTGAAAGGCAGGAAGTCTTCAGTACTGAGAGCTCACGGTGGGCGTGCTTCGAAGCAGGCTGCTTTCCTTCCTGGGTGGATCCATCGTTCCTTACGGGCACATCGGGGCTCCTTACCCCTCCACAAGCAGGTTGGCTGCACCTAGTAACAAAATAAGAAGGAAAGTGACAAAGATCCCCGTTACATATGCAAAGACATTCCTTCAGGCGTGCTTAGCAACAGATCTTATATTTCAACTCTACTTAAACTGTCATCCTCTATCTCTGCAAGAATCCCAGAAATCTGATCACATGAGTTTTTTACAACTCCTGTTCTTCTTCCTGGACTGTCACTCCTTTGGAGTGTCATAAAGCTAACTCCTAATTCAGGCTCCAGATCAGTTTGCCCCAGAGTGGTAGACGGTTGTTGCCACTCCCTGCCAATTCCTCCACAGCTTCATCACTTTGTATTTTGTGCTTGAGACTTTTTAGATGTCATTTGTAATTAAGTTATTTCTTTATTTTTTAAAATACCAATCCCCAAGAAATTGAAAGCCTATTGTTCAGTGCCAAGACAACATCCAGGCCATAAACCTGCCAATAAAATTAAGAGAAAGAGACACATTAAAAGCATTAGCTGTATTTTTCTGAGTTCTTACAGCGCTTCATTGAATCCTCTGCAAGAGCATTTACTATTTCAACATATATACTTATCTACATTATGGTACAGAAACTCTTTTTTGCAGATTCCATGTGTCCAAAGATTCCTTATCTTCCTCGGATGCTTTTAGATTCAGGAGGTTGAGAGTAACCTCTGTAGGCCATGGTATTTCTCATTCATCTTTACTCCAAAGGGGAGAAAACAGAATATATAGCTGAAACAAATAGGTTATAATAAGTCACACGCAGGTTAATGTTTAATAACCACCTTACCAGAGGGCTGGGGAGTCAAAGTTTAGAAAAACCTTCATCTATAGGCTTTGTGTATTTCTTTGGTCTGAAATGTCTTTGATGAAAATAGGCATATTTGTAGCTACCATTAAGCTGTTGCTGAACACATGGTTGTTTATAACCAGCTTTGCCCAGAAGGTATGACCCAGCCTTTGTAAACTGTTTGTTAAAAAACTTTTCCTGGATCCTGCATACACTTCTTCCCAGTATACAGCTAAGAGTAGAAAACACGCACACACACACACACACACACACACACACACACACACACAAAGAATTGATTGCACTATAATAGGGGAAATGTTGCCTCTAGGAAATAGGATGGTTAGATAAATATATACTATCCAGTGAAATTTGAATTATAGGTAAAATGTTTTATTATAAGTATGTCACAAATAATGCATAGGGCACATTCATACTAAACGATTACTCACTATGAGATTCAAATTTAATTTATCACTCATATTTTTATTTGTCAAAACTAGCAAATTAGAATGATCACAGAATGAAACTTCATTTAAGAGAAATGGAAAATTGAGTAGGAGTGACAGCCTACAACCTGTACCGATTTGTGAGAATTCCTACCAGAAAATGTCAGTGAATTACAGATGACAGAACATATAGATTCCCAGGGTCCTCGGAGCATCAGGCAAGGATAAGGTGGCCAGTTCCCTCAGTTTATTATCACGAATTTCTAAAGGCCTCTACATATTTCCAGGGTTACTTTGGTTTTCCTATAGTTGTCAAAATTTGAGGAAGGTCGAGAAGTTCTCTTCTACTGTGTCTGTCTCTTCTTTGCCATCTCCACTAAGGGTTGCCCTAGGTGTCAGATACTTGTACGGTTCCAACCACATCAGCCTGGCAACCTAACAGCTCAGCTGTGAGCTCTGGGGTCTTGATAGATGATCTGATGGCCATGAGACATTGTATCATACTGGACTGTACAGAAGACACTGAGACAAGTGACAGCAGCACTGACAGGGATAGGCACAAATGCCAGTGGGGACTGTAGATAGGCACAAATGCCAGTGGGTTACCGTAGGAGATGCTGGGATTTTGCAGTAAAGTAATACTTTCAAAAAATTAAAGCCCTACTGGCCAGGAGGGGTGGTGCATTCCCATAATCCCAATACTGGGGAGGCTGAAGCAGGAAGATTGCTACAAGTTTGAAGCCAGCCTGGGCTACATAGTGAGTACATAGCCAGCCTGCACTATAGCAAGACCATGGCTCAAAATAAATAAATAAATAAATAAATAAATAAATAAATAAATAAATAAATAGCCCTACTTTATGCAGTTCTGTACTAAGAACTGGCTGTCTGAACCCTTGATCTGAAGGAAAGAGAACATGCCTCCGAGGTGCTTAGCCTCATAAAGAGAAATTTCTAGTAATTGAGTCAACTTTAATGGAAAACAGACTGAGAATAGTTTAACAAAAATACTAAAACTGGAGGCCACTAATTGCAACTTGTAAATCTCCAACTCTTGATTTGAATTAAAAATAGAGGCTTAGAAAAGGACTTAACCAAGTGAAATATGAATGCTTAGAACAAATGGGAATCAGGACAAACACAACACGCAAAGCTCAGTGTTTGGATGGCAAATGGTTTATGTAAAAGCTAGAAATTTCAAGAAACTACAAATAAAACCACCTTTATCATATCTGTCAGCAAAATGAAGCATAACTTCAGACATTAGAAAATGCTTTGAAGGAAAATGCCAATCTTGAGGGAAGCATAAAAGGCCTTTCACAAGGAGAAGAACAAAAAAGAAGTCGGAGTGAACATTAAGTGAAATGCAGGGCTACACAACCTGTTCCGTGGTATGGAACAAGTACTCAGAGTAAAAGCCAGGTCATATCTGCAGGTTGGCACTGGCTAAGGTTGAGCACTCTAGGACTACGCCTCTGAAAAAGACAGCATGGATAGGGTAAAGTTGGAACCTCAAAAGGGAATCACATCCGAAATTAGAAATCTCTTAGAAAGCTTGAACACACTGATGTGTTGACTGAAACTAACTACGGTAGCCTAAATAATGGTCCCCCAAAGATGGCCATACCCAGATCCCCATAACATGTAAACATAGCTCATGGCAAAAAGAACTTTGTAGATATGATTAATTTAAGGGTTTTGAGATGGGAAAAATATCCTAGATTATTAGTTGGGCAAAAGCAACTACGTGGGTTCTTATAAGAGGGAAGCCAGAAAGGAAATGATACAACAGAAACAGGGCTCCAAGTGATGCAGCAATAAACTGAATGACGCAGGTGCCTGCTAAGAGCTGTGAAAAAGAGTGACTGGGTTCTGCATCAGGTTCCGTAGAGAAATTACAGCTCCTTGGTTCCTTGATTTTATCCTAGTGACACTGATTTCAGACGGGATGACCAGCCTGTAAAATCATGAATTTGTGTTTCTTTACGCAGCTAACTTTGTGGTAATTTGTTATAGCAGCCATAGGAAACAGATACACTTCTCTTGATGTGAAACCATGTGTATGCTAAACTAATTGAAGTAGGTAAAAATAATTGTCATGGTTAAACTTAACTGTGTTAACTTGATTAGCTTGGGAGCCATCTAGGGGCCCAGGTACTAGCCATGAGCTCTGAGCCTTTTCTCTTTGAAGCTTTTCCCCTGCTCTGCACCTCCCCTGATGAACTAAGCAGCTTTGCTCCACCACACACTTCTGCCGTGTTTCTGCCTTGGGACCAGCTGACTATGGGCTGAAACCATGAGCCAAGTGAACCCCTCTTCCTTTAAGCAGAGGGTGTTGTACAGTTAGTCCCATCAGTTACAATGGCAAACATTACAGTAGTCATTTTCCTAAAGATCAGAGAAAAAAATTTCTGTAGTAATTAGAAAACCATACTCAGAAAGTAGAAAGAAAACTCATGAAAAAAAAAATCTATGTCCTTCCTTAACTGTGTCAAGGAAAGAAAATTCATTTTCATGGACTATTCAATTTAGAGCGAATTTAGAACAAGTAAAAGAAAAAGATAAAGGAAAATCATTCCAAAGCAATTGAAATGACCAGCCATGCATGGAAAGAGATGGATACCTATGAAATATAAACCAAAAGCTCTCAGCAAAATTGGAATAATCACTAGCAGTATCAATGCCGGTGTATTTCCCCTGAGAGAAATTCACGATGATGGGTTAGGAATACTGATGGAGAATAACTTTGACAAGTTATGGCTGAAAAAATGGAAATAGAAACTTCAGATGAAAAGTCTGCAGGTAAGAGCTTTATGTGAACATTGCAATAAGTACACTTACATTCCTGGTAAATTGGACATTTGGCAGAGGTCAAAGAGCACCAGGGAATTCTCTGGAAGACCATATTCATACACCCTCAGGAGGAAGACATTGATACCGGTGTGGTGCAGAGATTGAGACTCTAGTGCCTGGTAAGGACCAGACGCCAGCCCCACCAGGTCAGAAGGCCCAGGGAAGGAGATATGGCAGGTGCTCCCCTTGGGAAAGAGAATAGATCATTCCCCATGTTCCTTTTACTGGCATACAGCAAACACCTTCCTCTAATTTAAGTTTCTCTGCCAAATGGGGAGTCTGCTCCTTAGCTAGCCTACTAAAACAATGCAGCAAGCATTAATATTAATGCATAGATATGATAGGCCGGGGATATAGCTCAGTGGCACAAGCGCCTGCCTGGCAAGTGCAAGGTCCTGAGTTCAATCCCCGGTACTGTAAAAAAAAAAAAAATGAATAGATATTAGATTTACAGGTTAATAGGTTTAATTCTGGCAGATCTATGAATGCATACAACATACCTCGATCATTTCAGTCCCCACCCAGACCTCTTGCCGTGCTCTCATCCCATTTTCTTCCTCTTCTCTAACAGTCCACCTCGACTTTCATCTTAACTCTCCCTGTCTCTCGCATTGGTAACACATGTTACTTCCACTTTATTTTTAGACAGTACAATAATTCATAGTAATTTTCTTGTTGTGATTTAACAAGAATCTTCTATGATCAAAACCAACAAAACTTTATTTCACTTTTAAAAGAATTTTCTCTTGATTAGTTTCCCTGTTATATAAGCATCCATTCACTAAAATAGGTGATAAATATTTAAAGCATGTTTCATAAATGTCACTTGTTTGAAAATAAATTTCATGAAGAAATTCCTTTGCTGCTATGAAAGGTAGTATGTTCTTCTGTGAAAGATAGTGTGTAGTGTTTGAACTGATGATTTTAAAAAGTCTCCTAAGGTATCAAGGGTAGAATTTACTCTATGACACTAACAGGCTTACATAAATAAATTTCAGTATGAAAGAAATAGTCAGCTCATTGCTCCCTTTGAGCTTCTATAAAACCTGACATACTCACTCACTGTGGACTTCAGGGCCCCATGTGAGCTGTGCTCTGTGGGGTCCTCCTGTCCGCTGTGCTCCTTAGGCTCTGGCTGCCTTAGCTTTCCACCTGTGCCTCCAGCACCCCAGGCTCCCTTTCTCTTTTGCTCCCTCTTTTCCTTTGTCCTGAGTTGCTTTTCTTTTGATCCTTTGCCTATCTTCCAAGTGAAATTAATTTCAATTGAAATTTCCAACTGAAATTAATTCCTTCTGTTTCTCTTTCTTCATGTCCTATGATTTTCCAATTTTCTGGGCTAACAATTATGACAGTTTGTATTATATAATTGTATGATTGTTTCATCAATGCACATATCCATCCCAGGACTCCATGTAGTCAGGGATTAGATTTTTCTGTTGTTGTTTACTATATCCAGTGTTATGAAAAGGTACAGAGAATGCTTAGAACCTTGTGATAGGCCAGTTCTTCCCTTTGCATGTGTATTCCCTAGGTTTTGTTACAGTAACAATGCCTAACAAGCAAATTCCAGTTTTTAAGGTTTTATTATAAGGATTTACTATTCAACTGCAGTTCTATTCAACCTCCTAGTTTCTCCTGAACTTATCTGGGTCTGTTCCCCTTGAGCAGTTGTGTTTGTAGTCAAGGGCTAAGCCCAGAATTTTGAACAATGGATGGGCAGGCATCGTCTTTCAGAGGGATGTCCTAGCACAACAGGACAAGCAGAGCACTGCACACTTTTTGAGGAGTCCTGGGGAGTTGCTGGTGACTGAACCCACTACTACCTCAGACATGCTGGGAAAGAGCTATACCACTAAGCCCCATGCCCATGCTTTAAGAACATTTCTTAAAGCCTCAAATTGAATTCTTATGCTCACATCTGGCTACATCACACTAGTCAGAGCAAGTCTATGGCCCAAGTCAGTGGAAAGAGGTGAATTTTACCCAGTTGGGAAAACTCCAGATGTAGGTAATTTTTCTCTAGAAGGGTTATAGAAAAACACTTGTCCCATTACCTTGTACCAAAAAGCACACTTTTTAGTGTCTGGCAGATGATAAATATTAACTTATTATTTTGTGGATAAACCACTTGATAAAGCTTTCTCTAGAGTGGTTTGAATATTGCACAGTGTTTGGGAGCAGTACCAGCATTAATATAATGACTTTTTAATTTTCAACTGATATACACAAATAACAAATTTAACTTTTTACAGGGAGTTTTTGTTCTCTTATGAAGGTTGAAATTGTTTTGAGAATACTTTTTCTTCACATTTTACTGACATTTTTCTTATTGTTTTCATTTTTATCAATCTGTAATACTTTGGCCACATAAATAACAATTTTATCAACATGTCTTTAAATTTTTCTCATTAATATTTTGGCAAGAACAGTGATTTTTTTATTTGTGAGGCTTTCTCTTGCTTGTCTTTCTTTGTTACACGATTATTCAAACTTTAGGAACACTTTATGTCCCATAAGATGGCTATATCACGATTTACTTACCCTGTCTTTTGCTGGCTAAATTGTTTTCATTTGTAAATAATATTGTGGTGAATATCTCTACAGATCATCAAGATTTCAATTTTTTTCTGAGACCCTAGAAAAAGAAGGAACAAGTTCGAGAGTACTTTTTAAAAAACTTCCTTCGTCTTTTATCAAATTATTATCCAGAGATGTACTGCCTTTCACTTTCTTACCCACAAGAGCATTCAAGACCCGCCTATCATCCTGAACCTAAACATTAGCGTTAATGACGCTCTGGGCCGCCTTCGCGAGAACATATCCTTCATTATGATGCCAAGAAGGGTAAATGACAGGCTCTTCTCTCAAAGGAAGAGCACGCAAAAGGTGTCTGCGAACTGACCGGGCGGCTGTTCTCCAAGGATCTAAAGGGCAATCTGAGCGTGGAGGAGGCGGGCAGGAGGGGACCGGGGGATCAGACGGACGTGCGGTTCCCTGGACGCGAGAAAGGGTCCGACCCTCCCGGGCGGGCCACCCCGTCCCGCGCGGAGCCCCGCCTCGACGGCTCCTCCGATACCGGCCCCTCCAGGGCTGCCTCTGTCCGGGAAGGGCCAGGGACGAGGCCAGGCTCCCAGGAGCCGCCCTGCCCGGCCTCCCGAGCCCCTCAGGCCTCCCTGGGCCACCCCCGGGCGAAAGCAGATGGCACCCAGCTCTCAGTGCTGATCCTGAGTGCGCAGGTGGGAGATGGCAGCCCTTAAGGAATGCCCTCCCGGCCAGGCTGTGCTCCTTCGTGTCACTCTGGGGGCTGCGGTCTTAGCTTCCACCGCCTGTGACACTGACCCACCCCGTGCCACTGAGTGCCAGGGGTGACAAAGGAGCCGGTTCCAGGGATGCAGGGGAAGAAACTCCCTACCTGAACGCTGTCTGGGACAAGTTCGTGTTCTCTAAAACAAAGGAGTGAATTTTAGGAACAACAGAGGTTAAGAGCAGAATATATTTATTGGGGGAAAGAAAACTTCTGTCTGAGAAAGGGTCAGAAGGGGGCCCCCAGTGGGTTGCCGAGGAACCTGCCTTTTGTAGGGATTTTTAGAGAGCAAATCCAGGAGAGGTGGTCCAACTTGGAAAACATAGGAACTCGCAAGGTGGGTACGGAGTGGGACAAAACTATGATCAGCCAATAAGATTATGAGTACAATTGCTCAGATAAAATTATGTCAGGACCAAAAGGGAAGCAAGTCATGTAGCAGGTGGGCAAGAATACAGAACAGGGGCTTTTCCTGTAGGAGGCTGGGTTAGTGACTCTTTCAAGGTGATGGATACCTAGTTGGAATATCAATCCCTGATGTCCATCCCTAGGGAGGTGTGTGGGTGCATTCGTTTCATGCTTTGTCTTGAGGTCTGGCCCACAGCAGGAGTGCTTGTCTCTCCCACAGTTGCAAGGTACCTTGTCTTCCATACTAGCTCCTTCGAGGGCCCAGCCCTGTCTGCCTATAATATTTCTGTGTAACTCAGCTGCCTACAACACCAGAAGGACTTCCTTTGTTGTCTTCCAGCTACTGGCCCAGAATCTTTTGTTTAAGACCAAAGCCACCTGCAGGGTGGAAGCAGCCAGGATTATGCATGTTGTGTGCAAAGTAATGGCTACAGATCCAACACACACTTACATCTACTGTACATTCACCCCTGAAATTCTTCAATATACACAGCCAACAAAATTATAAATCAATCTTACTTGGTAGCATTTGCCCATTTCTGTATATAGATACCCACTAGAGCCCATTTCAAACTGCATAATGTGTAGTCGTTGAATACAGATTTGGAAAGTGATTCACAAGTGTACATTTTTTATCTTTTTCCACAACAAAGATATACTAGGCATAACCTCAAGAACTCAGAAAAGAGTGAAATGTAGCAAGAAAATTAAGAAGATATGAATGCTGAATAATGTTATCTTTGTAGGTAGAATTTACTTAACAAATATATTAAATACTGGTGCATGTAATTTAACATTTGACTCAAATTTAAAGTAATTTTAGCAACTGACTTCATTAGCTGGTTTGACCTAGCTCCAACACGTTCTTCTGTCTCATTAAGAGAAGTTTCATGGTTTGTATTTTCCTGTGTATCATTATTTACTGGAACTGGAATACAACATAAAACAAGGAATAAAATTTCATCAAATTTAATATACACTGTTTTATTGTCATGTATGAATACTGTATAAATGTATGGGTGCTTCTGTATTTGTGTGTGCTTACTTTAAATTATTTTATTAAAACTCCACTCTGCAGAATTATACATCTCTCTGAATCATTCTCATCTAGCACAAGTGTCAGCAAACTATGGCCAGGGGTTGGATCTAGCTTGTGTCTGCTTCTCTTCCCTTCCCTTCTTGCATTCTTCCCTCCCTCCCTCTCCCCTCCCCTCCCCTTCACTTCCCTTCTTTTTCTTTCCCTTTCCCCTTTACCTCTTTGTTTTTCTTTTCTTCCCTTTCTTTTCTTCCCTTTCTTTTCATTCTTTCTTTCTTTTTTTCTTTCTCTCTTCCTCCCTCCATTCCTCCCATCCTTCCTCCCTCTCTCTCTCTCTCTTTTTATCTTCCTTTCTTTTTTCTGCCAGAGTTTTAGACCTAATTTACACACTTACCTTATAAAGACAATTCTCCTTCCTACAAAAACAGTTACTTTGATTTAAAGGCGTTGAGGGTAGAAACACTAGCCAACTACGGACAAGGCAAATGATTTCCAGCACTTCTCGATGAATTGACAGAGATTACTAGTAATGCTCAGCTGTTTACTTGAGCGCATTTTCAGCATGAAATAACAAAATCTGTCTATGAATATCATGCTTGGAACAAGTATAGGCAATAATATTTCAAAGAAGTTGAGAAAACTAATTTATAACAAATTTATGCAGAATTTGTTAAGATGTGCTTCAACTGATGCTGGAAAAATTTGTATGGAGTGAAAAAAAAAAGTGAATTTGGAAAAACTTAGAAAGCCTGTGAAAATACAAGATTTTAGTTTAAAGACCATATGCACTCATTTTGCTATTTATTGGCAACTCTTTTGCTTGAAATATTTTACTTCCATGTGTTAGTATTGTCGTTAGTAACTTCATTCACTTGGTGGACATTTCATGGAATTTGTATCTGTTCATTGCTTGGGCTATCAAAAATTAAAATAAGTTTCTATTCCCACAAATATTTTGAGAATATATGATCTCCAAGACCAAGCTGCAGCTTCAATAGCTTTTTTTTCTCACCTTAGCGCAAAGACAAAGGAAATGTCCCTAGTTCATAAATCATTTAACTTTACAATTGAAAAATTGCCACATCATTTTTAAGTTAGTGTTGCAATACGTAATAAAAGGCAAGTAACAAGAAAATATAGAATTTAATCAATGCCATTATAAGATAAATATTTACAATTAAGACCATATGCTACTAGACTGATAACAGTATGCAGTACCTCTAATATGAAAAAAACTATCTTTAGAGATGAACTCTGTAAAATATCATTTGCATCAGCATTAACACATGAGCACCTACAATAATGTTCGGTGGGGAACACCATCTTTAAACTTTGAGTAAATGAAATCTCATTAAAATAATTTGCTAAGTGCACTCAATTATTACGTATTCAATTTCGTCTATAAAAATAGCAAAAAAATTCTCTCTTATAATGGATATATCTATATAATATTCTCAACTTTGCATTTTGGCCTACAAAATATAATATATGGAGTATCTAACTTGATTTGTCACAGAAAATTTGCTGATTCCTAATCTTTGCAAACAAAGTAATTAGGGGCTGGGGATTTAGCTCAGCGGCAAAGTGCCTGCCTGGCAAGCACAAGGCTGTGAGTTCAGTTCCCGGTACTGGAGGAAAAAAAAAAGTGAGCTCAAGGCCAGCCTGAACTGCATAGCGAGACCCTGTCTCAAAAAGACAAAAAAAAAAAAAAAAAAAAAAAAAAAAAAAAAACGAACAAAGTAATTAAACTAAATATACTTGAAATAAAATGCTGATGTAATATTCATTATTACTGACATATAGCACTACTATGTAAAATTTATCTATATTTTCTAGTTCAGTTTCTTCCATAGTATAATATTAATTATTACACATTTGGGCCGTGCACCAAAAATGCATTACTGAGCTATAAAGAGTCACTGTGCTGAGACGAGCTGCCTTCACATTCCCCATTCCAAATTGAATTGGACAAAAACAAAATCAAATTTCCCCACAAGGTCAGCATTGAACCTGACTATTGAATCTGACTTTTTCTCATCCAATTTCTTTTGCGACCAGAATCATGGAAAGAATTGTTTGTGAACCAAGGTGCTACTGAACTGGAGGGGCTTATAACCAATATTTCCCTTGGCAATAGGTATTCAGTTTTTGTCCTACCCAAGGCAACAAAAATTATCTCCCTTATCTCAATTTGCTTTGTCTCTTTTGATATGTGCATTATCATAACACCCCAGTTTCTAAAATTAATTTTGAATTTTCAATTTTGCACTGTATGTTTTTTCTTATATAGCTTGCAGAACACACATAAAATCTCCTACCCCCTGACATACCATCAACTGAAAATTCCCTAAGTCTTTGAAAACAGACATAAACTACTTCTCTACTCAGTCAATTTCATGCTTAAAGTTTGTACACTCAATTCCTATGAGGACGTATATCTATATGCTCATCTGAAGTCTTTAAACTTTGAAAATCAACTTTAAATCTGAGGTCACTTAAAAGTTACACACATACATAATGAAACACTATAAAAAAGTGAGAAACTAAAAACCTCAGTTGCCTTTATCGTCATTCGTTAGCATATATTTAGTAAATACCAGTTAAGTATCTAGCACTGTACTAAATGCCAAACCCAGCCAAATAATAGTTTGTGCACTTTTATTTAACAGTAGATTGATTTTGTAACTTTCATTAGATAGAACCAAATGAGCCATTCTTTTAATGAGAACTCCAAATACCATAATTTATTTTAAATATGTAATATTTTATTTATTTCCCTAATGTAGGTTAATTATAGGAGAATGTCAGTGTTTATTTTTCCCTGTTTTATTTCTAATCATTTTTCAAAATAAGGATATAAAGTCAACTTTTATTTTAAAGACTAATT